CCCAGCATGGACAGCCGCCTGGGCAAAACACGGGCTCCGCAGTAGGGAATCTAGGAGGGTGGACTCTACGCAGCGGCCCCCTCTGGCCGTGGTTTCACGTCCCACACCTGTGGTCAACCATCAGCTGACAATGTTAAATGGAAAATTCCAGAAATAAAAAACAGTCCAAGTTTTACATTACTTCTGTTGTAGTATATTATTATAGTATACCTATTACTGGGTTGTTGCTAATCTCGTTCTGTGCCTAGCTAATGAATTAAACATCAACCATAGACATGTATATAAAAGAAAACAACATCAACTTACAGGGTTGGTGCCATCCGTGGTCCAGGCATCCGTAGACAATCTGGGTACTTATCTCCCACGGACAGTGGGAACTGTGGTTGTGAATAACGTGACACAGCTGAGCGTTTTTTTTTTTTTTTTAAGATTTTTTTAATTTATTTGAAAGGCAGAGTGTCAGCAATGGAGAGACAGAGACAGACATTCTACCTGCTGGTTCACTCCCCAATCGTCTGAATCAGTGAGGGTTGGGCTAGGCTGGAGGCCAGAACCTGAAACTCCCTCTAAGTCTCCCATGTGGGTGGCAGGGAGCCAAGTACTGGAGCCCATCATCTGCTACTGCCCAGGCACGTTAGCAGGGAGTCAATCGGAAGCACCGAGTGGCTGGGACTAGGACCAGGCATTCTGGCATGGGAAGGGGGCAATGGAAACAGCACCTTCCCACTCTGCACTGCCGCCTCCCCCGACCCTGGAGCTTGTGAGAAGAGAGGGTTTGTTGAACCCGTGCAGAAGCAGCAGGCAGCCCTGCCCTGTGCTCGCTCGGGGCAGGAGGTTTGTGCCTTGGAGAGACAGCAGCTTTTACTTGAAACAAGGGAGGTAGAGGAAGAATACCGTGCGGAGGTGGGCATGTAGAGACCTGTCTGTAACCAAGGTTTAGCCTGGCAATGACAGTTCTGTGAGAGGATGGGTTGGGGTTGGAGGCCTTTAATGTGTAACGTGCTTGCCTTCCAATTAAGCATGGCACGGACTGAAGAACAAAAGGTTCAGCCCAGGGACATCAAAGGGCCAGATTTCTTCCCAATCGGGCTTGGGGGAAATACGGCTTGGGGGCTCGCCAGCAGTGACAGACCTGCGCTCCACGCTCCACTGGTGGCCGCAGAGAACCATGCCCCCCCCCTTCCTGTGCCTGAGGGCCAGGGCCTTCCCCCTTTCCAATTCACCATATGGAGGAGAGAAATCATGTCTCCTGTCCCTTTCAAACTTCAGGCCTGAAGAAAAGCAGAGTGTGTAGCACACGCTGAGCATTGCTTCCTCAAGGAGAAACAAAGTAGCTGAACGGGGGAACCCAGTTCTTCCTTCCAGGGAGATCACACACTCCCCAGAGCAGAACCAGAGAGCAGTGAAAAGCACCACATGTGCCACCCTACGTGCGGTCCCTGCATATGGAAACGTGGACCAAGAGAAGCAAGGTTCCCCATCAGCAGCCTCCTGGGCCGAACCACCGAGTTTCCAGCCAGGCAGAGGTGTTGTGCGTGCCAACCTTACCACCACCCTCAAACCAAACGCTGTTCTTTGAAAGAGGCTTCCAATGTCGCACTGTGGTTTTGTTCCTGAAGGTACTGATATTTCACTCCCCTTCCTGCTTCTTAATCTAAGATTTAAGGATTTTGTCAATGCAGTGCTTCAGAGATTCTTCAAAGAGACTAAATGGCAATAATATAATGCTAACCATGTGTGCCTATAACCCCCTCCATTATAAAAGAGGAATTGGAGTAGGAAAAAAGACCAGATCCCTGCAGGCTGATGTCCAGTGGTGCAGGGGCCAGTGTGGACGAGCATACTCGCTGACTGCTTGCTTACTTACTGGGACAACCCGTGGCTGGGGGGCTTCTCCGTGATGTGCAGACCCAGGGCTGTGTTAGCAGCAGCAGGTCGGGCTGTCTTACCCTTGGCCAGGGCGGTTCTATCAGACAATGCCCCCTCTTTCCTAGCCCAGTATCAAATTAAATAGACTTCGGTGTTCAAACCACTCGGCAGGTGACACAAATACCAGAGAACCGACGTGGCCCCTGCCAAATTAGAAAAGGAGCCGCTCTCTGGTATACAGGGCGTTAGAGCTCAGGCGCATTGCTGCAACACAGATACGGCCTCGGGGCTAGCTGAAGAGCGGGCAGCGGGCAAAGGAAAGCAGGCTTCCCCTTCTCTGTGCCAGAGCGTGTGATCCATCAGTGACAGTCTCCCCTCCCCTCCAGGGTCAGTACTGCCTCTGTGCGATGCCCGTACTTGAGAGAGGCATCTACACTGACCTCTGAGACACTGCTGACTCCCCGTGTAGTCGACAAATTTGTAGTGGTGGCAAATGTCAACAGGTCCCCGTCGAAATAGATCTGTTAAAGCATACACGATCCAAAAAATACACGATCCAAAACTCTGAATTTCCACTTCCCTCTGGTCGCATTTTCCCCCGTGCTCTCCCACAGTGGGCTGTCTAGTGACAGCTCCCACGCTCTCAGGGAGGCCAGCATTTTCCAGGCCACGGCTTCGGTCTGCGGTGGAGGGGCTCACCAGCTGCCTCCCCCGACTGATTTCAGCCGCCGGTAACTCCAAGCAGGTTCCTGAACCTCAGCAGCTGATGATTTTGAAGTTGGGCCAGCGGCAGTCGGTCTGCTGCATCAGCACGGCTGGTCTCCACTCCACGGTTACTTTTAGCCTAGGAGTGGCCGGTCACTTCAGCAAACGTTATCAAACACAGTGGCATTATCAAAGTTAGTCTAGCTTTGGGATTAGCATCTACTATGGGTGCATTTTAAGGGAAAGAAGCCATCCTAGTTGATCGGGGTGGGCCTGATTCCATCAGGTGAACAGGCTGTAAGAGCGGAGCTGAAGTTTCCCAGGAGAAATTCCACCTGCAGATTCCGCGCCGTGCCTTGGAGTGCCAGCCTGCTCTGGCTGGGGCCGGCCCTGGGTTTTGCTAGTGCGCAGCCAGCCCACAAATCTCATAAAGCAATTCCCCACAGCAGCTGCCTCAATATGTGTCTCCTCCCAGCTGTGTTGCTCCTGCTTGACTGGTGGGGCTCTGCTGACGCCCAGTGTCTCTTTAGAGTCCAAAGCCAGGATCATGCATGTGTCCTTTCTAATCTGGCCCATGCTGGGCTGTGTGTGTATGTGTGAGTGAGAGAGAGAGAGAGAGATTATGCAGCTGTGAGCACTTGAGGGTTGCTCAGGTCTCCCAGTAACTCAGGTTACTGCCAAGTTAGCCCCTCCATGGGCGCCACTTGGTCTCAAGGCAGATTGGAATTTGGAGCAGCTGAAGGAGCCACAGCCTGCACTGGCCTACCACCAGTGGTTTACCATGGAAAGTGGCAGTTGCTTGGTAGCACACATCCTTGCGTGCTGACACCTGCCATGGTCCTGCCCTGCAGATCTAAATGATCAGAGCCCACGCTTGGCCTGTGAAGAACAAGACTCCAAGCTTGGGGGCACTCTGTCCGCACTCACGTGCTTGGAGTCTCCCTCCTTACGCACTTTTTGAATTCTTATGGGTGTCACCTCCACTTACCATTTGCTGTCAGCTCCTAACCCAGAGACTCACCCAGAGCTAGGTGTCTCCCCTCACCACCGTCTTCATCTCAGAACACAGTGAGTCTTCTTGTGTGTGTTGTAACCACTTACTCCAAGGAGCAGGCTAGACACAAGGTCTCTAGGGAGTTTTTCAGCCAGGAATGAGTGTCTCAGAAACATCCACCCTAAATGTTTACTTAAGACCTATTTAAATCATACTTTGGGTGTCCGCCTTTTATACAAAGTTTTTAATGGCAGATTCTGATGATTCTTTCAACTTCATACTGTAACTTAGAAGTGACAGAGCTTGGCATCAAATCCCACCTCTGTCTCTTAATCAGCTCACATCCTTAGCTGGTGTCTTTTTTTTTTAAAGATTTATTTATTTATTTGAAAGGCAGAGTTACAGAGAGGCAGAGAGAGAGAGAGAGAGAGAGAGAGAGAGAGAGAAGCCTTCCATCCACTGATTCACTCCCCAAATGGCTGTAATGACTGGAGCTAGGCCAATCTGATGCCAGGAGCCAGGAGCTTCTTTTGGGTCTCCCATGGGTACAAGAGCCCAAGCACTTGGGCCATCTTCTACTGCTTTCCCAGTCCATAGCAGAGAGCTGGATCAGAAGTGGAGCAGCTGGGACTTGAACCAGAGCCCATATGCGATGCCAGGATTGCAGATGGAGGCTTTACCCACTATGCCACAGTGCCGGCCCCATTAGCAGGTGTCTTAAATCCTCTAAATACCACCTCCATACAGAAGGGCTTGTAAGGAAAAGGATAACACTTACTACATACTGAGCAGGCAGACCCTGCCCTGTGCTGACCTGTTGCAAGCCATTCTATGGCTTTGTGTTTGTCAGGTGGTATCGACCTTACAATAGTTTCCTGAGGATGCCACACAACAAGTGACGACTGTTGGCCTCCACGTCTGATGTAGTGGGATTGTTTTGTGAATTATGTCTACTCAGAAACCTGTAACTACGGACAGTAGCCAAGGATGGATTGTGAAGAACAATGGGCTGTCTCCAACATGTGTGTGCAAAGATCCATACACGTTTCAGGAGGACTGCTGGGAAGACTCAAGTTTGCATAGCATGTGAATTTGTGTCCTGATAGTCCTTCAACATTCCCCTGGACCAAACACATACTTGGCGATTCCTCTTTGATAAGGGAGAGCTGTTATCTGGTCCCGTCAGGGAATGCAACGTGGCACCAGAACTTTGAGCTAGGGAGTGGCCACTGTTCCTTGCCTTTGGATCTCTAGTATCTAGCACACAGCCAGGAGACAAAGTGTATGTGTGTGTGTGTGTGTGTTTAAGCTACAAGAAAGCACAATATAGCCTTTGAGTGGAGCCCAGCAAGAGCACATGCAGAAACTAACGTGTGTTCTCCAGAACAGCCACCGTCCACACAATAGGAAACCGTGACACCATTGTATGAGCTGCTGCCCGGTGACAGCAGGAACGTGGGGTTTTACACTGCTGGCTGCTGTCAGGTTGTTTTTGTTTGTTTGCTTGTTTTCATTTTATTTGAAAGGCAGAGAGAGAGAGAGAGAGAGAGAGAGAGAGAGAGGATCTTCTATGTGCTGATTCACTCCTCAAATGCTTTCAGCAGCGAAGGCTGGGCCAGGCCAAAGCCAAAAGCCTGGAACTCCATCCAGGTCTCCCATATGGGTGACAGGGACTCAAGCACGTGCCTCCCACCACTGCCTCCCAGGGTGTGCGTTAACAAGGAGCTGGGTCAGACGTTTGAGAAGCCAGAGCTCAAAAGTGGCACTCAGATACCAGATCCTGGCATCCCAAGCAGCTACTTAACCATTGCCCAAATGCCTGGCCCTGCTGTTGGCTTTGTATTTTAGTGAAAGGCAGAAATGAACAGTGGGCATTTTCTTTTATTTTAAAGGCAGAGTGACAGAGAGGGAGAGGGAAAGAGCGAGATATATTTTCTGTCTCCTGGTTCACTTCCCAAATGCCCACAAGAAGCAGGTCTGGGCCAGGCCAAAGCCAGGAGCCCCAGACGCCAGCCTGGTCTCCCATGTGGGTGGCAGGACCCCAGCTACTTAAGCCAAGCAAGCCCTGGGATGCCAGCGTCCCAAGCGGCGCTGCTTGTGGTCCCTGCAGGAGGCCGCTCTGAGGGGACTGCACAACTCCTGCTAAGTAGCCTGAACCTCCCACAGCACACTGGAGTGAAAGGTTGTACGTTTTGTTTTGAGGAGACAAGCACCCGAAAAACCCACCGATCCAGTGGCGTGCCGGTCTCACTTTTATAAAATGGCGATGATTCTCTTTATCCCTTCAGAATTCCCGACTACAGAGTGCGCCTGTCCTGCAGCTCCCTTTAGTAAGTACAAGCACATCACCTGCGGAAGGCGTTGCTGCAAGCTGTTTCTTGTTAAGCAAACTTTTGTTTCCATAGAAAAAAGCGTCCAGCAGGGCCCTGGATCCACTGTCAAGTGCTGGCTGGCAGGTCTGGGGCGGCACAGCTGTGTGGCTGACAGGCTTGGTTGCCAAGCCCCTGTTCCCCCGGCTTTGGCTACAAATATTCTCACCACCTTGCTCCGTACATCTAATGAGTCTAGGACCATGTGTTCCTAAAACACTCAAGAATTCCCTTCCTTAAGCAGAAGGTAGCCAGCAGTCGGTGTTTGTGTGATGGCAACACGTTCTCTACGGGTTCCTGGGGCTGGCTCCAGCATCTTCATCGGCACGGGCCTGGGAATGCATGGGGACAGTCAGATGGGCACACAGACCCCTGGGGAACATTCTTCTTCCCTGGCCTCAGGTGAGGATTACTGCACCCCGTTATATAACAGGCTTTGAAGGAGACCCTGGTTGTGCGCAGACGCTATGGTCCCAGATCTCAGAGGAGCGCTCGTTGTCCGAGTGCGTTTCCACCTAAGCGCCCCGGGGTCCTGGTCCTCCTGCGTGTGAGCAGGGGCTTCCCGGAGCCAGCCCCGGGTTCTCGCGCTGCGTGTGCCGCTTGCTCGCTGGGGTCTCACAGGGATGTTGCCCCCTCGCTGCAAGCTGAGGCCGTCCTAGGAGACGATACAGGCCGTGTGCTGCGGCCATGAGGGCCACAGGCTGGGGAACGAAAGCTCACAGATCAGGAAGGGCCGTTCTCCCTGCACACACGGTCGTCAGCCCGGGCTCTGCCCGTTCCGCTGCTGAGAAGGCTGCCTGCCTTCTGACGCCTCCCCACTTCTCCATCCCTGCAAGAAATCAGAACCAGATCCGGATATGCAGCTGTTTGCCCTTTAATCAAGTTCACTTTCAACTGGAGGGACGTCTTGACAGTTTGAAAGCTGACTTCCAAACCTGAGCGTCGTCTCGGAGTGCCCGGGAAGTAAGGAGTTGTGGCGGTTCGGGAGGGCGCGATGATTTATGACTGCAGAGCTGTTCAAAGGGCTCAGACCCTCAGCTCCCTTTTCAAGTTCGTCCTCCCGACACCGCGGGCTACCCAGACACAGCGATCGCTTTCTAATCGCTAGCAAGATTCCTCTTGTTGAACTTGAGTCAGCTTTGATTTTCAGTCCCTGAAGTTCGTTCTGGGGTCCTACAGCAGAGAGGGAGGTTGGGAGACACAGTGCCGAGGCCTCGCGCTTATCAGTCGCTCCCGGGGGTTCTGGTTCCTGTTAAGTACAGAGGAGCGGTGCGGGGAAAAGGATTCCCTGTGGGACGCTCTGCAGTTAACACACGGGCAGCCCTCCGTCCACTGTGGCAAATGGCCTGGGGCAGACTCAGCCGTCCTGCACCATGGAGGCAAAGCAAGACCAGGTGAGAACTGACACATAGCCGGGGACGGAGCTCCGGAGCTGGGCTCTTCACAGCTCACGAAGCGTCTCGGCGGGTGGTGTCAGTGCTGATGAGAGACTGAGCCGGCCGCTGCACGGGTGTGGGCAGACTGTGCGTGCATTTGTCAGGGAACCTGGACCCTGCAGGGCACTCACTGCCCACTGGCACGAAGGCAGGATAGGGCTGTGTGGCCAACTCCCTCTGCAGTAGAATCTATCAAGTGATGAGACTGTGTGCGTTCCCTTACTGGGTCCCCAACATCCCCCTAATATGGGGACTGAAAACCACCCAGAACCATTTCTCCTTAACTCGTCATCTCCACCTCCCTTAGTCTCTGCCCCTCACAGGCACGCAGCACGCACAGGGAGCAGAGTCAGGTTCTCCTGTTGCCTCCTGCCTGATGCGCACCGTGCAGAGTCTGCTGGTCTGCGCATTCTGACGCATCTGCTGCTGCTGAGTCTGGCGCACACCCTGCGTGCACTTCCCGTTCCCATTTCCCTGCTTTCCGAGCGTGCAGACAGCCTGCCTGTCAGCATGCTTCCCCACCGACACCTCCAGGCAGCCTTCCTACTTGGCTCTTGAGAAAGGGGTGCAGAGCGAGACTCCGCCATCCCCACAAGCTCTGAGCATCTTGGAGCCCTGTGCTGACTCAAATGCGAAAGTAGTGCATGGAACAAATAAGTGCTCCAACGACGGGAGCTCTCCATCTGCGTGAATTCAGGGCTTACTCTGCTTGGAATGAACAGAGGAACTCCAGACGACAGGCGCATGGTGGGGCATCCAGTCTGGCCGTTCTTGGGAGAGGCTGGGTTGCTATAAGGAATCAGGTAAGTCATGGAGAACCACGAGAACCAGGCACATTTGCACCAGCATCCGTGGCGTTGTGACCCAGAGGTGAGGCCAGGTTTGTCCTGACTTCGTTACGGCCGTGTCTGGGACCTATTAGAGAGTCCTGGCTGCCAAACGTCGGTGACCCACCCAGACACGGGCATTTTGATAAGCTCGGAAGGCACTTTCTTCTGGGTGTGATACCACAGGGGAGCAGCCTCTGATAGTGAACGCTTCTTGTGCAGTAACTACACGAGGTTAGGCTACTTCCACGCAGTTACTGAGCTAGCGGACCTCCTTCCCGTGTGTTTACACCAGAGCATCACACCTCCCGTGGGGTCACGACGCCAGAGTGACATGCTACCTACATACATAAGCTGCTTAGAAGCTGTTGGGCTATGAGTTTCCGCCAGCGTTCGCTCTGACACTCATTTCGGTCACTGTCCATCTATTCCTTCCCATGCAGTAAGGTAATTGTGCCACACTTCCTTCATGCCGCCTGTGGTGAGCAGCCTTAAATGTTGTAAAGACTAGCCCCTGGGAGTGAGAACTGGAACTATCCTTGGCACACCAACGTTGACCATGTAATGGGGTTGAGTCCTGGCCTCACAGGCACCCTCCCCCACCGCAGTAACTAGTACATGGACAGGAAGGATATTTTTAAAGGAAAAATTGCTAGATGTGAACTTTCCAAGTTTGGAAGACAAGACTCTAGGAAAAGCGTGGCTGTGGCTTGAACTGAGAAGATAAGAGTAGAGAGTATCCTACACCCTTTGTAAAACAACCACTAATGGTTACAGATAACCTCGGCATGTGGTCACGTGCACAAGCCCATATCACAGCATCTGCTAACTGACAGTCAGCAACAACAACCAATCAGAGAACGGAACGCCTCCCAACAGGGCACGTTGGTGACGTGAGCCCCAGGGTGTCCACTGTGGGGCTTTCTGACCCCAGCAGCAGCACGGGCTCTGTTGTCACAGGAAAGTCACCTGCAGTCACCTGTCCCCTCACCTTCTGCTCTACTTCCTCTGTGACTTTTGTCGCAGGCTCTCTCTAGTGCGGACGTGTGGAGTTTGACTGACGTCTGGGATGAGCTGCGAAGGCGAGAGTTTATTTTAACAGAGATGGGACTGAGAAGAGGGTAGTCCCTTGCTTCACTTCCTAGTGTCAAAACCATTTGCTGTCTGTTGATACTTGCCTTTGTTCCCTGCGTTGGGGAATTGGAGGCTGTGATAAACAGACAGTACAACTTGTTTCAGGAAGTGAGTGGCTGCGCCTTTGATGGATGCCCCTGGCTCGCTCAGGGCTGCCATACAGTAATTGCTGCCACCAGGCACAGCGCAAACCCACCTGCCTTCAGCCCTCCTTTGGACAATGTGCCCGCCTCAGAATCCTCCCGCTAACCCCGCAGCTGATTTTAATAACTCCCTCGCCATGTCCCCAGGCTAGGCATCTTGGCACTAAACCCTCCATCTTGCACGACCCAGTTGCTCAGGAAACACTTTGCTGCCTCTGATGGGATGTTCTCTGATGCACGCCTCCTTGTCCACTGGCTGGAAGACCTAATCACACCAGGTGCGTGGAGCCCTCTCCCTGTTCATCTTCCGTTCTCCAGAACAAAAATCTCAGTGCGTTTAGGGTAAAATGGCCCGGACAATTCTCTGCAGGTCAATTTGCTTCTCAAATCTTGAATGACAAATTTGCCTCAATTTGGAATTGAGTCATCTAGCCCTCTCTCTGTCGTTTGGAACAAGACATTCTGTAGGCAAGAAGGGCGTTTTTCTCCATTTAGCTCTCGGGTGGAAACTGCATGCCCCGGTTGCTGAGTGAATGCGTAGGGCCCGATGCTTCAACCGGTCTGAACACTGCCCTACAGGTCAGACAAGCCAAGTGCCTCTGAATGAAGCATTGATGAATGATTGGCTATTTCCTGTGACAACAGACAGGCTTGTGCTGGGGCACTGGGAACGTCACTTAAAACTCTCAATCACTTTTCAGTCTCCTTTGTGGTAATAGGAAATGTAGAAGGTTTATAATTTCTAATCTTATAAATTCTGATACAGAATCGGCAGTAGTTTCAGCCTGTCTCGCAGGAGGTGGGGAATTGTATTATGGGGATAAGCAGGAAAAAAATAATAATTTCAGTGACTCTCTGATCCATCCCATGATCCCACGAGGGTCCTCATTTGTCCTAGCAGAGTGGTTATGTTTGAATTTCTTAAACCCAACAGACGCACAGAAACTATGGTTTGGCTGCTCACTTGCAAGAGCCACATCTAGGGTTAAGCAGAAGTCCTAGCTCCTTTCATCAGCTTAGGGATGCGTAATTGGGAGGCAGGTGTTTGGTGTAGGGGTTAAAACACCTGTGTCCCACGTTGAGGGTACCCGGGTTCAATGCCTGCCTCTGGCTCTGGACGCGAGCTTCCTGCTAAGGCGCACCCTGGGAGGCAGCAGTGATGGCTTAGGTAACTGGGTTCCCACCACCCACATGGGAGGCCTGGCTGAGATCCCGGCTCCCAGCCTCGGGCCCGATCAGGGGACCAGTGTGGATACTTGGGGAGTAAACCAGCAGATAGGATCTAACTGTATCCGCATGGCTGTCTCTCTTCCTGTCAAACAAATAAATAAAAGTTTATTTTCCCTAAAAGAAGAATGTATAAATCTAAAATATTGGTGTATGTTCAAGGTGATGTAACAGGTATTTGTACACTATGATATACACACACATGCCATATGCTCTGATTAATAACTTTATAACTGATGGAACTGTCCCCAAATTCGTTCTGAAGCAGAGGGGCTTCTGAGTCCACAGTGAGCCCCGGCGTGGGTCGGGCAGCACGGCAGCTCATACCTCTCAGGGACCTTCACACGGCACCTGTGCAACCTATGCCCGTCCCTTCCTCCTGGTTCATGATTTTACATCGTTAGCAATTTGCATGACATATTTTTATTCTCTCTGAAAGGCACACAAACAGAAAGAGAGAGACAACAGAGGGCTCTCCCATCCGCTGGCCTACTCTCCAGATGCCCACAGCAGCCAGGGTGGGGCCAGGCCGCAGCTGGGAGTCTGGAGCTCCATCCACGCTGGCCTACTCTCCAGATGCCCACAGCAGCCAGGTGGGGCCAGGCCGCAGCTGGGAGCCTGGAGCTCCATCCAGAGAACGACTGCTTGCTGCCTCCCAGGAATCACGTTAGCAGGAAGCTGGACGCAGGAGGAGAGCTGAGACGTGGATGCAGCCCTCAGACATGGGACGCGGGTGTCTCAGGCAATGTTTTGACCCCTGTGCCAAGTGCTCATCCCAGCTTGAACTTTCAGCTTAAAACCCAGGAAGATATTATGAGGATGAAGAACTCTTAGAGAGGTCCCAAAATGTGGGGGTTACCCAAGATGCGGCAGTTAGCTAAGACATGTGCTAAGTCAAAAGGTGATGGTTACTTGAACCATAAATCTTCTCTCCTTGGGGTGGTCCTTAAAAAGGGAACCTCTACTACATACTGCTAGGTTTGTTCTTTTTTTTTTTTTTTTTTTGACAGGCAGAGTGGACAGTGAGAGAGAGAGAGACAGAGAGAATGGTCTTCCTTTTGCTGTTGGTTCACCCTCCAATGGCCACCACGGCCGCTGATCCGATGGCAGGAGCCAGGTGCTTATCCTGGTCTCCCATGGGGTGCAGGGCCCAGGCACTTGGGCCATCCTCCACTGCACTCCCTGGCCACAGCAGAGAGCTGGCCTGGAAGAGGGGCAACCGGGACAGAATCCGGCACCCCGACCGAGACTAGAACCCAGTGTGCTGGTGCCGCAGGTGGAGGATTAGCCTAGTGATCCGCGGCACCAGCTTAGGTTTGCTCTTAATAAGCTTAGCTAGAGTTGATTAAGATACATTGCTTTCATTTTTAGCACTGCCTCAAACACTTTGGGTGCATTTTTCTCCAAATAATTAAATGAACCTTGACATACCTTTTCATCTAAAGCTTCGCACAACAGCCTTGTTCAAGTTCAATGGACAGTTTTCTCCATCTCCTTGCTGTGATAACATCCTGGGTCCCTCCCCTCTTTCCCTGTTCTCCAGCCTTGACTGTCCCACGCCCAGGACGAGGCCCTTTTCTCTCAATCCCCTTTCCCTGGGCAGTTTGTGTTGGGGTCCCCAGGGCCCCATGGGCATGGATTCAGTCATTGTAAAAGACTAACCAAGAAGATAACCCCTTGTCTGATGGTGCCGAACAAATCCATACTGAAGAGCAGGCTTCCAGTTGGGCCACAAAGAACTCTTTTCCTCAAGTCTCCAAGGCTTTGGGACATGCCATCTTTCTATTTATTTATTATCTATCTATCTATCTATCTATTATCTATCTATCTATCTATTTATCTATCTTTCTATCTATCTATAGCACTTAATCCAGGCACTTTTTATGTTGTTCTTGCCATAGCCCTTAAAATGCTAAAAATGTTTTCAAAGAGCTTATTCCTTTTATTAGAGAATGGAATTTAGAGAACAAGATCTGAGTGCTGCGTGTGCTTGTTGCTATTGGGTTTTCAATGCTTCTAAGGCATCTTGGTCTGCGCCGTGCCATCCATACACGCATGTCTGGAATTGTTTTTGCCTCTCCTCATCTATGCATGTGACAGCGTGTGTGTATTGGCTTAAACATGAGTTCCTACACATCTCCGTCTCCAGGTCAGCACCTGGAGTGACTTAGTCAAACACACCAGTTCATCTTGGACTTCTCTCACATGGATTCCACACCAAGAGATCCTCACACCTGGTTGTGGTTCTGGAATGAGGACATTGGAAAACGTTGCCATTACTTGAGAGTGTGCTCGACCTTGGACAACACAGTTTGGATGCTACATGCATCCCTATAGGTCAGGGTACCGTTCTGTGACCACTGCTCTCATTTGTCTGATAGCTGTTTGATAACCAGCTCTCTGTTGACAGTCCCCAAACTTCGTCAGGTGTTTCCTGGCTTGTCTGTCCTCCAGGACCCTGTCTTCAGGACATGCAAGAAATGCATGCGACTCTATGCAGGTCGGCACTGTTTGGGAATGAGTGCACTGAGCAGGGTCTCTGAGATTGCTTGTAAAATCTCCTAGCAGTTTTGTGGATGTTTAGTGCTAGACCATCGCTTGAGAGTTTGTTCCTGGCTCAGTTCGTAAATTATTATTTTGAGGGGAAAAAGTGTGTATGTTACAGTGTTGTTGAGGTGAGAGCCAGAGTGACATCGAGAGGCGGAGGGAGGCTGCGCTGTTGGCTCCAGGACTGTTTAGCAAAGAAGGAATGAGAATGAGAGGTGGGTGTGTAGATCTAACCTCAATGGGCCTTCCAGACCCACTGCTGCTTGACCCCAGCAAAGCATTGACTTTCTCAGGGCTTCTGCTTCCTCACCTCTGAAAGGAGGGGTTGGGCTGCATAGACCCCCAGGAACCTGGGACCTCCTGACTCAGGAGGGACGGAACCCAGCCTGTGTGAGGTTCTTGGCTGAGCTCACTCAGCTCTGCTTTGACAGGGGCTATGGCACTTTGCCTTTTTTTTTTTTTGAAGATTTATTCATTTGCTTGGATGTCAGAGTTACACTGAGAGAGAAGGAGAGGTAGAGAGAGAGAGAGAGGTCTTCTATCTGCTGGTTCACTCCCCAATTGGCCGCAATGGCAGGAGCTGCACCGATCTGAAGCCAGGAGCCAGGAGGTTCTTCCGGGTCTCCCATGTGGGTGCAGGGGCCCAAGGAGCTCGGCCATCTTCCACTGCTTTCCCAGGCCATAGAAGAGAGCTGGATCGGAAGTGGAGCAGCAGGGTCTCGAACCAGCACCCATATGGGGTGCCGGCACTGCAGGCTGTGGCCCAACCCACTATGCCACAGCACTGGCCCCTGCACTTGGTTTCATGGGAAAGGTGCTAAAAAATAATGACATTCACTTACTTTCTTCCCATGTTGAGAAAAAAAAAGAAGATGGGCACTATGCGAGTGTCTGCCAGTTTCCCCATTAACTCCAGAAGTGGCCAGAACCCAGCTGCGGGCCTCCCGCCGCGCCTCCTCAGGGCAGCAAATGGTTACCAGGTGCCGTCCTGGCCCACTCCTCAGGAACGCGACTTCCGGTGTC